TTCACTTAGGACCTTCACTGTGGCCTCCCCTTTCCACTAGAGAAGGGAGGAGTGTGTGTGTGTGAGGGGAGTGGTGATCCTCTTGTTGGCTTTGGGAGTCCAGCCAGAGAGCCTAAAGGCCCCTCGATCATCACTTGTTTAGTCACTCATTCATTTGCTTGCTGTGTTGCGGAGTCTCAGGGGCTGTGAGTGTGATCAGAGGGAGGGAGCAGTCTACAGATTGAGGGGGAGGCCTGAGGTAACCACCCGCACATTTGACTAATTATGACCTAAACTGGGATGGGGTGATATCATGAGTACCCAATCTCTGGTGGACTGCCAGAGCTTTTCAAATCAACATCCCCTCTGAGCAATGACATCAACAAGAAAGCTGTGGTCAGTTTAAGTCAACTATATTGACTCATGAGTTTACACACCATTTCAATCAGTGTAAGCTAGAGCCCGACTGATATATCAGCATGGCCGATATTGGCTAATTCAAGCTTTTTGTGGATAAATTGGTATATATGCGTGCTGATAAGTAACATGAATTAGTGGAGCAACGACAATGGTATGTTTGCGGTAAAACAGTCACATACAATAGTTTGTCCACCAGAAAGCACTGATAGCACGGGCTTAAGAGTTTCCTTAAAGTTTAAAAAAGCTTTCTGACTTTAACTTTAGGCAGTTGTGATTAGTATTTTTTCACAATTTTCTGACTTTTTATAGACCAAAAGATTAATCAGGTTATCATGAAAAATAGTAGGTAGTTGCAGACATACACTCAGTACAGACTCTCAAGTATCAATATAAATATCAGTCTCAAAAATGCCGTATCAGTCGAGTGGGAGTAGTCAGATTTGTACAGAAAATTGCTGAACAGAAGTGGGGGGATGTATTACTGTACATTTTAATTGGACATTCGGTTTCAGTTCTGGGCAGAGATGTAGATGCAGTCACTTCTTAGCACAGAAGTCCCAGTGTTGTTGTTAAAGAGGCTGCTGAGGATACTGGTGAACAGAGACTCTGAATTTTGCAGTAACGAGTGAGTGAGTAAACAAAGCTAGTCCAGAGCAGGCAGCACCGAGCACTGCCCACACCACTGTGCCAGTGCAGCGGGTTTATTTTCCATGGAACAGATTAAGTAAACACAGATATGCAATAAACACAGAGAAAAAAAACTCAATTTCAAAGGCCGTGCTTCATAACACAAAGGCATCGCTTATGCTAGGATGGAAAACAAAACAAGCAGCCTTTTCAAGGGCCACAGTTGTGCACTGGACAGCATCCCAAAGAGCTGAACTTGATCTACAAATCAAAGAGGTGCCACTTGTGGCCAACTTGGTGCATGGAAAAACATAACAGCCTCAAACCCCAGCCATCAAAAGTAGATTTACTGCTTCACAACATCAATAAATTTGATCCCTTTTTTATGGATCTGGTAATGTTCAGGAAAAGTTGGAAAATATCATTTACTTAAAAGGCTGTAAATTACATCATTACACCACTAGAAGTAGTATTACTTGAGGTTAGTTGAGATAAGACTTTATTTACATTATAATCGTATTTCAATTCCAATTATTGTATTAAATAATATTGGACAGGTGGAAACTACAGTGTGTGAAATATACTGTGAGTGAATGTGTTGACCCTTCAGATTGCTCATCTTTCTAAGGAGCTGATAAATATCTGCGATGATGCATCACCTTAAAACCTGCTGAACGAAGGTGTTTTTTCGTCCTTCACATGAGCTGCGGTATTCACTGGGCGGGATTTCAAGTAGCTTACTTTATCATTAAAATGATCATAAAACTCATCATTTAAAAACTCAAAAGAAAATGATGTTTCTACTTGAGTTTGGATTAATGCTTCAGCAGATTAAGGCCATTAAAACAGTATTAGTCTTCCACACTTCAGATTTTTTTCATGAAGTATATACTGAAGAGAAAAATGTGTGAGCAGATCCCTTATAAGACCTCTGTGTAACTATATAAAACCACTGTAGCTCATGAGTTGTATGTGGTGCTAATGGGCGTATGGAGCCAAGTTATTCAGTTCATCTGTAGTCAGCTTTATTCATACAAACAAGCACCGTCAAGAGTCTTGCAGAGGCGAACGTGATTTTAGCTCTCTGTAAGGAGAGGTCAAAGTTGAACAAAAACAAGTCATTACAACAGGCGTGCTCTCTCATTCCAAAGCAGGCAAACTTACATAAACAAATGACGTTCATAGAGATATTACAACTGTTCCAACTTTGCAAACATAAGTCATGGGTTTAACTTCTAGGGTGCTGTCTGGTTCTACTAAAATAGTGAGCAAAAGTCAAGACCTGACAGATGTCCAGCAGAGCACTGTTCCCCACAGATATTGAGGCTTTGTTTGAAAAGGTACATTGAGTTTTCAGTTTGATGATCATGGGAGACCAGAGCCATGTACATTTCTCCACATGAAGCGTAACATAATCTATGAGCCAAAATTACAAGGAAACGTTGCACACCACTGTCTCTCTCTGGCCTCAGTTGAGTGCGCTCTTCCTCTCTCCTCTGCTAACGGGGCTGAAAGCGTTAGTGGCCACTCTCTGCATTCTTTGCATAACAAGTTACACAGGACAGATAACAAAGGAGCGGTGGGATAGGGGTGAAGGGTGGCAGAGAGGACGTCCTCTGGCCATCGTCCCCTCCGAAATTAAAGTCCTCTCTGATGACCTGTCATCATCCATTATGCGAGATGATAACTCAAAGGTGTTCTTTCCAAGAATAGCACCCATTGTGCCGAAGTCTTGGACATGTACCAGGCTCGCCTCTTGAGTTCGGCCGTATACAAGCGCCTTTGTATTGTTTGTAAAGACATCATTACAGCTAAGTTCACTTTTGAAAGCCTTCCAGAAGGCTTTGAAATAAATGAGTAAGCAGAGTCAGTAGGTTCATCCTTTAGGACACTGTCAGCTTACAGAATAGCTGCTCTTTCAGCGTTTCTGTATCACATTCCACAGAGAGTTGCTTATCAACACAGGGCAATATCAGAAATCTGCTGATCTTCTGGCCTGTGGCTGACAGCCTGACTTGGAATATGTATTTTGTTATTTTTCATTATTTTATTATATAAGTTCATAATGTATAGTGTGCATCAGCATACGTTAAAAGTACTTCTTTTTTTGCAGCAACCCGAAGCCCACCGGATCCTCCTAATGAAGAAAGTAAGTTGTTATTCTATATTATTCTCACTATGTACATGTACATGTGTCTATGAATGTGAATTTGAATGGAGCCCCAAAGTGTATCAGTATTGAATAAAATACGTAATCATGGGACTAGATTATGTAAACACATAGATTAACCAATAAATTGTGAAGTAGTTTAAGTTAAAACTCAGCTCATTATTATGAATGTTATTTAATTGTTTCTATTTTATGTTTGTGGTTTTCATTGAACTTTTCTATTTAATTATAGATTTTATTAATTTTATAATGGCTTTAATTTCATAATGTTAATTTTCATGATAGTTGAGTTTTTAGAGTCTCAAATGCCCCAACCATCCGTTATATTTAACATTATTATATTTGACAAAAAAATGTTTAATTGATGTTATTGTTTATTTTAAGACCCTGCAAGGAACTTACATTTGGACAATATAGTGTTTCTACCGCCTTGTCTAATTTAAAAGGGAATCCGACCTAATGACAGGTGTAAAGAATGGCTATATACAAATAGCCATTCTTCTCTCTGATGGTCTTGTTTGTTTATGTAGGTCATATAGAGGCATCAGTTTTAAATTGAGACTGTTTCATAACCAGTTAAAACACCTTTGATAACCTTTAATTTATGCATTTAATATTGAACACTTTGGACCTCCATAGACTTTGTGTTTAAGAGCTTTTAAGTATTTCCTAGTTGTCATGTCAACATGTATGAACTGCTTTGTTTCGCAGGCACACTGTACGTGCTGGACACTCCGACAGTGGTGGGCATCGCGTTTGCAGCCTTTGTGATTGGGGCTCTGTTGACCGGAGCCCTGTGGTTTATCTACTCCCACACAGGTAGGTCCTTCACCTGCTGCTCCACAGCCTCGGATCACCTCTCTACATTAATGAAAAGATAAGATGTAAAGGAATGTCTGAGTGTGTCTGTGCCAGAAATGTGCCCCTGGGATTACTAGACATCCTGCTGCTGACAGAGGCCAGTTTACAATAACATATTGACTCCTCTACTGTAAATATATCCTGTTGGTCAGCAGCAAGAGCTCTTCTCTTTCCTGCCTTTGAATGTTTTTGGGGGCTGCTGGGTGGTCAGCGAATATTCTCAGTACAATGGCTGGAGACGAGCTGGAAATTCCCCTTGTTGGGTTTAGCGGCACTCACAGGAAAAGACACACAATCTGTCCATTAGATGCCAAGACCTTCCCCATCGTCCCCAGCCTGCAGACCCCAGCTGACCCCTAAGAGGAAGTGTGCTCCCAGCAGCCCTTTTGAGTTCACCGTTGCATAAAGCTGCCCTGTTCTCGTTGGCCTGACTGCTTGACCGGTGATCCGCCATGCCAGTGACCTGTTACCCCATGGCTGATGTGTTCTCCATGGATGTCTTTCAGGATGTTTGAGTTTAGAAGCCAGGGCTTTCAGAAAATACAACAATGTGAGTGTTTCAGTTTACACTAAGTTTACAGTTAGGAAGAAGCTCACTGTTGGACAGTGTTAAATGGCTGGGTCAGTAAATCATCCTCCCTGATAGTTGTGAATGTAGCACAGATACGGACACTAGTCAGAACTGTTACAAACTGTTTAAAGTTCCAGTCATGCTAAATCACATCTGTGTAAGTGTTTACTGAACGGGATTTCATGTAGCAGAAAATATCAGCTGTCAGAGTTTAGTGCTCTTATCTTTATCACAATATTGGTATTGGCTCCTCTTTAGAAAGCCACTTCATTTAAGCTTTATGGGTTTCCTAGAATGACAAAGGAACACATGCCTTGTAACTGGCTGGTTTTCCAAAGATATTAGAGGTCAATAGTGAACATGCAGAGAGAAACAGGTGTAATGATAGTTGTTATGGAAACACTTTCACAACTTACAGATACATTAAGGACCATGTTCCTGTTGATGTTATTAAAATAGACCTTAGTTGGGTGTGTCAAGCTCTCTCGGCTGAAATGACCTTACATGGCAATATTGGCAGTTCCATGTAAACCCCAAGAATGTAGATCCCCAAAAACAACCACCAAAAATATCAGCTGAGAGTGTATTTTAAACTAGTGTACAGAGTGAAGACACATGAAAACAGTCTATTCCCTCAGGTTTGAGGACAATATCCCTGGCCTTTAGAGAACAAACCCTTTTTTAAGTTATATATACTCATAGGCGTTATATTTGGGGTTTTGCATTCATTACAGTTTGATTCCTTATAAGGCAATTAGAAGTATAAATGCTTTAAATGGCACCCCACACTATATTATTTGACATTTTACTCATTATCTTGGCACATACAATGTGTCTGCATTCTGCCAGGGCTGTAGTCACGTCTGCCAAGAGTTCTGCTCTCCACCTCTGCTCAATTTGTGAACTAACATACGAATGAAAAATTCAAACCAATTGTGAAAACAGGCTGACATGAGTAGAATTTTTTACACATTATCTGCTCTGAAGAAAACATGTGCTACAAGCTTAAAAATAATGGTGATCACACACTGCACACTATCTTGACAGCAGAAACTACACACCCGCTTCCTTTTTTAGCCACACTAGCAGCAAGGCTTGTGGATTGTGTTGGTTGGTTGGTCTTCAACTTTGAAATATCTCACCAATTATTGGATGGATTGCCATGTCATTTGAGTTTTTGAGTTAGGATGAATGGTAGTAACGTTGGTTAATTTTACTTTTAAACTTGCGCCATCGTTAAAACTATAATTTGCCCAAAACTTGACCAGATACTTGCAAAACTGATGACATTCCCATCATCCCCAGGTGTACTTTGTGTTTTGTGTTTTAGAAAATGAATTAGATTTAGAAAATGTTAGCATGCTAAAAGGCTACACTAAGATGGAGATCATAGTAAACATTACATGTGCTAAACATCAGCATGTTAGCATTTTAGCACACTAACATTAGCATTTAGCTCAAAGCACCCCTATGCCTAAGTATAGCCTCACAGAGTTGCTAGCATGACTTGTTCTTTCAAATATGCTTCTGTAATCTCTCTTTCTGTCTCACCTGCCATCCATCCGTCCATTCCAATATGGATCAGAGAAAGTCAGACCTAATAGAGAGTCCAGACTGCTATTGTATTCCTTAAGGCTTTGACAAAAGGGATTGAATAATGGATTACTTTTTTTATTAAATGGACAATATTATGCTACTTATACACAATGCACATAGAGTGAACTGTGTCTACCTTCTAGGTCTTTCTAGGGTTAGTCATTGTCATTGATTTAAGACACATATGCAATTTTTCACTTGTCAAATTAGTCAGTTTCAAAAATGTGAAACAAATGTCTTTTTTTTTGTATGTACTTGGACACTGTTGAAGTGATGACTGTGCCAAGAGCAGGGTTGGGTCAGATTACTTTTACATGTAGTCAGTTATTAAATACAAATTAGATGGCAATGTTTGTGTTTAGTAACATAATCCATTAGGTTACAAAACAATGTTTTTAAAATGAATACTTTTGGAATACTTCAAAATCAATTTAAAAGACAAAAGAATTTGTGTTGCACATTTCCGAAGTTGAAGTGAACATATTGGCAGGAATGGAAGTCTGTTTTGGAGGGACTGAACTTTCCATCTTGACTCAACACCATTCTTTTTTCTCCAAGTTATTAGGTCATTGGTTATCATAAAATAAAGTTTCATAATTGTAAAAATGACATATTTAAAAGTCCTAATCAAAAATGTAATCAAGTAATCCTTGACAACGTAACTAAAATGTAATTACTGGGCTTATTATAGTTACTTATTTTTTGTTATCTGATTACAACCCAACCCTGGCCAAGAGATACTAATTTTGTGCTTCTGCTTTTGTGATTCCTCGTCCAGAGGATAAAGCAAATTGTCAGACATCTGTTTTCAGAGTTTTCATACACAGTATGTTTCTGTAACATTAAAGCAGGCTTTATCTCTCCTATCTAGAAAGATAATATTGGACTTGGGAATTTATATTTCCTCAGACAGATGAGGTGAATCCAAGTCCCTTTTGTTTTGTAGAACTCTCTGTCCTGTGAGGGAAAGACCCCTGGCAGTTCTGCTCTGGTAAACATTAACAGGGGCCCCGAAGAGGGAGCGGGATGCAATATCGCCTGTGGACACAATGTGCCTGCCATATATGCAAGCACTCATACAGACAACGTTTAGGACGAATCAAGCTGTCAACAGAAAAATGTTTGTCTAAGAGAGACAATTTTATTGTGTACTCTCCATTTTTCTGGGAGGAATCAAGCTAGGATGCAACCAAGGAACAGACTGCAGTAATAATTGCACCAAATACTCAAATTAAACACAGACTTGGCTTCATTTCAAAAGCTGTTCATTGTCTGTCAGAGACATTTTCTGTAAACTAATGTAAAAACTTTGATTTGGCCCTTCATTGTAAGCGTTGGATCCCGAGAGTCTACAAAATGAAATGCTTATTTAGGCATAGAACAATAAACCAGTCAGTGGTTTGAGCTCCAGTCAGAAGGCAGTCTTGTGTTTGTTCTGTTTTATCTACTAAGGACAGGCTAATTGAATCCAGATAACTAAAGAAATGAACTCCATGAACAGGAATCATCTTCTGCTCTTTTTTGTTTAAAATATCATCTGTCAGATAGGATGTGAGTGGTTGTTTCTGGGACCTCTGAGGTGAATTTCTTTGGGGGGGGGTCCTAGCAGATGCATGTTGTGAATCTGTGGCAGATTATGCTTGAAGATGGTAAAAGTTAGGGCAGATCAAGTCCAGAGTTCTGCTTGCTTTACTGTGCACATTTGCCAAGTGCTTTGTACTGAAAACTAGATTGTTTTTAATTGTGCTTGTGTAAGAATGTGTTAATCTACACACAGATGTGCACAAAACATCGGGATAAAGAATTATATTTTAACTAAAGTATAAGGGTTTATGTCAAGTAGTGACAGTCATACTAAACAGTAGGGGATTAGAGTACATTTTTCTTTTAAATTCTAAGACTGCAGAGGAACAATGGAGGTTGCAGCGTCTTAGTGGGGTGCAATTTATAGCTTTAACCAAATCCATTTGTCATGTTCCTGCCTACCTCCGCCTTTCTGCCATTTACATCAAATTTTTCTTTCTCCCTCTGGTCCAATCCCCTCCTCTCTTGCTGTCCACTCCCTCTACTGCTCTGTGTCTAGGTGAGACAGCTGGCACACAGCAGGTCCAGAAGTCCCAGCCCGCCTCCGAGAACAGCAGTGCGGCCCACAGTATCGGCAGCACGCAGAGCACGCCCTGCTCCAGCAGCAGCACGGCGTAGCCCAGGACGTGACCCAGCGGGGACGTCGTGGCACAGGAAGAGCCCAGTGGTTCACAGGGACCGGTTTGTTGATCTCCTTCCATGAAAGGAATTTTTCTTTTGGGGGATGCAATAGGAAGGAAAAACATATGATATAAAAAAGAAAGAAGACGACACACAATAACACCGTTGGTCCTTGTGCAAATTCCTTTTGTGCCACTTAAAGTGTGTGCAGACAAATATACTGTCCTGGTGTTATTGGTCTGTAATAGTAGTGAGCCCCAGCTTGGCAGCCTCACCTCATATCTAGTACAACAAAACTACAAGAAACAAGTTTATACCAGGCATTTATTTTGAATCCAAATGCTGCTTTTTTCTGACCACAACACAGCCTTTTGTTTCTGACCTTAAATGGCGTGATCCAACTGCAAGGAAAGCAATCAGGCAGCAGTGATGTCAGTATTAGTAAGTGAGATGTTGATGGCTGGACTATAACACGTTACTTTATGACATGCAGCCCTGCAGATGGCAAAGGGAGCGAAGCAACCACTATTATTAACATGCGGACAAAAGTGCAGTATGAGCAAAAGTCGTCATCTTGACACAGAGAGATAATGGCTTTTAAAAGACAGTGTAGGTATTGAATGTATACAGAAGATTAAACGCCAAAAAATGTGAAAGTTAAATGTGAAAGACATGCTGATAAAAAGCCACATTTTATAATGTACTTATCTACTCCTCCCCTCATAATGGATTTACACACAGGTTGATAAAACATGTTTTACCAGTGCCTTCTATACAGTAGTTACAGAAATGCATTTCTGTAGATGAGGGTCTGAGTCTCAATTTCACTGATGTTATGTAATTTCACAGGGGCATTATGGGATCCCTTTTACTATGTTGTTAATGGAATAGTTCAGTTTATTTGAGATAAGATAGATAGCTCTCTCATGTCTCTGCATTCAGTACGGAGCTTGATACAGGAGGTTAATAGCCTAGCTTAGCATGAAGTCTGGAAGATGAGAGAAAGTGTTTATTTTGACATTTAACAAAACCACAAATTGTCACGTTACATTTCTGTCTGTGTGCAGGTTAAAAAAAACAAGATACAATGTGTTAATTTGTTAGCAATAGGTGTGTTAGTGGATGTATTTTTGAGCTTTGGACAAAGCCAGGTTGGGCGTGATTAGCCTAGCTTAGCGGCAAAATTGAAAAGCAATGGTAAAAAGCTAGCCTAGCTCTGTCTAAAGCTAAACAAAATACACCTGCCTCACCAGCTGTGGCCAGACTAGCTTTTCCCCCTGCTACTAGTTTTCATGCTAAGCTTGGATAATCACCTCCTGGCTCCAGCTCCAGACTCAACATACAGACATCAACATTTTCCAAAATGCCAACCTTTTCTTTGAGGCCTGTATATTTTTGTGAATATTGTAAATACTCAAAAATGTTAAGAGGCAGAGTGTGCAACTTCTGTTTTAGTGCTTCTGGATTAGACCAGTGATTTACCAGAGTGAGTTGTTAATGAGTTAATACCATATCTCATTTTAAAAGTGATAACATAAGAATCAAAGTCTCTTAAAG